ATTGTGATTAAAGATTGTAAATATTCAAGTTTTGAAATTTTATACAGTGTCAATCGATATTTAGGCTAACATTTCGTATGGGTCTCCATTTTTCTCTGAACCTAGTTGCACTTAAATACCAGAACTGCCGCGTGGATTAATACGGGCCTTTAAAACTTGATTAAGCAGAAATTTCATTAAGTAACTGAAGAATCTAGTAACGATGATGCTGGGCGCTAGCCAAGACTAGAATTTTCGCCTGGGTTAGTAAGGGCTTTTAAAATCTGATTAAGCAGAGATTTAATTAAGCAACTGGAGAATCTAATAATGTCGATATTGGGTGTTAGCTAACACTAGGACTGCCGCGTGAGTCGAAACGATCTTTGTAAACCTTTAATCTTTGAGAAAATATTAAAAGTTCCAATAATTTTTTGAAATTTTACATAGAAAGATCTTCAAATCCCCATAATCGGATTATCTAGATTAGTATCCGAGATACCAATGACGTAGACCTATTTCTGTTATGAGCCATTGTGAACTTTCGCACAAACTTTCCATGATCGAGTGAAAATATAAAATTGAAAAATAGGTATTACCATAACTTTCGATCAATATCCAGAAGATTTCAAATTGACTGTTATTAACATTATTTGAGACGACTTTGAAAATGAATTGACGATATGCATACTCCGTGTCCTTATTGATGATATTTATAGTTACAATGTTTTACAAATATAGCTGCATGTATTATACTTTAAGTACATGTATCATATCGTTGTATGTAAAAAAAAAAAAAAAAAAAAAAACTTCCTCTATATAACATAGTGATGATAATAGTAAAACAATTTCTGTAGATTCCTTGTTGCAGGATAAAATGACAAAAGTGTAACAAATATGCTTAAAGGCTTTGAGAAAACATAAAAACAACAAATTTGAATAGCTTTTGGGTAGGGAACTCGTATACACGCACACATGAACAAATATAAAAAGCGTTTGATAACGAGAACCGTGTGTAGAAACGTTGAAGACGTTTTGTATAAAAACCCCTAAGTAAGGAAAACTAGAAATTATTCAAAATTTAAGTTTTCTTTATTTTTTTTTTTTTTGCTATAAATAAATCTTAAAAATATTAAAATCATTAATATTCCTATCGTTTAAGTAAAAGATGTGCACACTTTAACAAATTTATTCTTTGTTTTTTTTTTTTTGTGCGAACAAGACTGAGGTTTAAGTTTTTTTTTTTTTTTCTGGTTTTAAATATTTTTTTACTTTTTTGAACAGAATTTAAATAGATTTTTTTATGTTCACAGGTAAAAAGAGGAGAGAATTTTGATGTTGTACGTATACGATAAAATTGATTCATAACTGAACATAAATCAAGCGAACGAATAGAAACTTTTGTTAGAATTTATCAGCACGAAACACTGTCTCATCGTTGATACCTGCCCGAGCACATACACGCGTACTCTCATTTAGATAGACACGCACTTTGCACAGCTTGGAGAATTTGTGTGAAGCATAATCAGATAACAAACCTTACCAGACAACTGGGTAACTAACTAACACACACTTTTAAAATGTTGTTGCGTTTAACTACAGGAAGTGTAACATTTGTTAGGTATAGTTTACTATAGAATGCATCTACTCTTTCTTTTTTTTTTTTTTTTTTTTTTTTTTTTTTTAATACTCAACACTCTAAAGAATATGTATTTGTCCTTCCGTTTGTAACAGCCTGTGAAAAAAGTCGGAGACTTTACTAAATTTATGTCCGCTTGATTAGCCTAAACATTTATCGATGTTCGTCGGTCTATGTCTTATGTCTTCTTAGTAAAGTTATAGCCGGACAAATTAAAAATGGGTTTGGATATAGGCCGTCTTTGTTGATGTCGACCCGTCAAACCCCATGCGATGATAATACAGTCTATAGTTTATATCGAGCAGTTATAAAACTTTTAGCAAAATCATGCAAAGCTGTAATGCAAACGTTTAAATCCCGTTCGCGATAGGCAAAAAGTATTAACTTGTTCTATCATCTCACTAAGAAATACTATGATAATATTATTTCTGAAGGTCATCAGTAGTTAAACAAAGGAGTCGACTGTCAACGCAGGCACACGTAATAATTTTTATGTTTTAGTTCTAGGACTCGTCCTAAGGTGAGTAGCTTTCCCAACAGTTTATTTTTGAACCAAAAGTTTCTCCATTCGCTCTGTACCGTTCCGAATGAAAAGCAAAAGTTCCAAACAGATGTATTCATATATTCATAGGGCATAAAATTTCGGAATTTATTATATCTTCGGTCCGTCTTTCGGTCCGTACGTCTATTGTCAGTTTTTATAATTGCGAGGAGTACTTGCACGGCCTGATCGTAAAGCGATCAGATAAGATAGTGCGTTTCTTGATTTCCTTCTCCCATAAGGTGTTAGAATGCGGCCGTTAAATCAAAGTATCGAACTTTCGCTTATAGAAATAAACAGGTTTTGAAAAAGGACATGATTGTTTATAGGTATGCCTGCGCTTAATGAAGGCCGAGAAAACCTTAAAAAGTGAAAATTTGCAAAACTTCTATCGATAAGTTAGAATGTTCGGCAGATAGGTCTGCCAACTATGGATTTTAAACTTAGTGCAGTAGTATTTAGCCGAACTACTCGAAAAGTTATTATTTATTAATGTAGTGAAAATTAGCTGACGATCTTATTAGAATTTATCAGAGAATTTGTGAAGCCGGGAAGACGAGCCTCGTTTAATTCTTATCCGAGACTAGCGTTTTTACGAGTAAGCTCAATTCTTTTTAGATTATTTAATATAATGTTTTTGCTCCGCAGGGCTATGTAGGGAAAAAGTCAGATTCGTCTTAACCTTAATATGAGTTTCTTGTAGATGTTTTTTTTTTTTTGGTTGTTTTCAGTTTTATAAACCAAGTGAGAGTCATTTATAAAATGCTACTCGTGTATATATACACATATATATATTTTTCATGCTCATAAAAATTAATCTGAATAGAAAATGTACCGAATTTATGGATTTAACAATTCCACCAGCACTGTTTAACTAAATCAATTTATTATTTTTTAGCAGTCTAAACTACTCTGCATATTTAGCTGCATAAATTTATTTATTTGTTTTTGTATGTGCGGAGATGATACGGCTACAATTTAAAGCAATATGAAAGACTCAGTTTTCACAAATATTAACTAGAACATGCGTTGGGAAAGCATACGTGAGTATATGTGAGTATAATTGAATTCCGATTTGGTACGGAAACGCATACTCACGTAACTGGCTATGCTCTTGATAATTGTACATTTGAAAGCGCAGTGAAACCTCGTTTAACATCACGTTTAAGCTAGCAATAGTTTATACTAATCGAAGGATATTTGCAACAAACACTTTCGCCTTTGAAGTATTTCGTTATAACGACGGCTTCACCGTATATGCATATTAAATTTCCATAGAAGGTTTGATGTTGAAATAGAATTCAAAAAAAAAAAAGTTTTTTCATTGAGCAAAATTTACGCACAAAAACTTTCATTTGGGTATATATTTTCCATCAGATTGTATTCGATGATATACAAAGTTTCATATATATTAGTAATATATATTAGTATGCGATTCCTTATGATTCCTTATGTCTTCTAGAGCGCCATAAAATACACTAAGTCGATATAGGGGATTTAATTTGTACGAAAGGTAAGAGCCGTTAGAAAGTATTTTTTTTATTTATTTATTTACTTTTTTGATTAGTATAAGATTTCGAAAGGTCAACCCCATTAAATTGCTATTGGTTAGTCATTTAGACCATTTTGTCTATGAACAAAGCAATAGATAAAGATAAAGGAAAGGTTCGATTTCATATTGTAAGAAAAAGAAGAAGAATTTTTGCTAAAACTTAACCGATTTCGCCGACTATTGAGTTTCAGTGACAGTTTAAGTTACTTCTTGCATTAAAATTAGTTTGGATTGATTCACTTTTCCGACCATTTCTCTATATGGAAAATAATTGCGATTTTAAAAATTCTTCGATAAAACTCGTGCCGTAATAATATTTGCACTTTCTAAATTAGTAAAAAAGCTTCGATTCGGTTGAGGCAAATTTTTCCCACACTCCTACAAAAACTGAATCTTTATATAAGCCGCGTTCTGCGTGTTATTGACGTCCGCAAAAACTTGATATAACGTGTATCACAAGCGATGTAGGGTGTAACTATCAACTATACTAAAAAAAAAATTCCAGTTCCCTTACCCACTTTCGAAGCCGACATCAAGCCTACCCAGTTCGCTTAACGTAACCGATCAACCAAAGGCAAATCTTGAAATATTTCTGGGGCTTAACGACAAATATAGAACAATAGAACAATCGAACCGTATGACTGTGAACTAAATTGATTTTATTTTATTTAAAAAGAAGGCAAAAACGATTAAAATCTGATAATTTGTTATAGAATAAAATTTAGTTCGAGATAGCTAGGGAGTATGGTTGTAGATTATCTTGATATGAACTAAGTTGACAAAGCAAAGCAAACAAAAAAATTCCTTGTCATCGGTGAAGTTGTTCAGAAACCCGGCAATAAACTAGGCAGAGTCATTACCTAGCTCAGGCTGCAAAAAAGCCGATCGCGCCGATCTAAAGAGAAAGCTTTACTAACTTTCGGTCACAATGTTATAGAAAAAGTTTACGTTTACAGTATCTTTTAATGCTTTAGAGTGAGATATCAGTTTCAATTGCCTGCGCACTACTAATAGTGAAATACAAAAAGCTGGAACCTTTTTTTTTGTGGCATAGACCTCTCTCTTCTTTGCATGTTTGAATTGCAGGAAAGGATCTTAACATTAACTAAATCTTAAACGGAGAAGGCGTAAAACGAACTTTCCAATTAACTTATCTAAAAGTTTAAAAGTTTAATGAATTTTTTTGTTTTTTTTTTTTTTTTTAAATAATCACTTTATTGTGAAAAAGTGTCTTCTTCACTTTTTCGTTAGGTGTTTTTTGTTTTTTTTTTCTTACAAATATTTACACGAAACAAAACAAAAACAACAATAATAATAAAAATAAAAATTATTTTTGCTTCATTGAGAAGTTTGATCTTTCGAATCTGTGAGAGATGAAGTGAAAAAATAAAAAAAACAACTTATAATTAAGTTTATATGTATGTCATACATGAGGAATACTGATGATGCGGGGTGTTTATGTGCCTTCAGTGGTCGCGTGCTTTGTGGCTTGAATTGCGTGTAAATGTACATGAAACGTTTGCCGCGATTGCCAAAGCAATCATAAAAATGTTTTACACTTGCTATGGGGCGTACTTAGTTTGATTTAACTTTTTCGTTGCCGCGTCGTCTCTTACAGCATCCGCACCTACTCTTTTTGATTCTGCCGTTACTTTTAGTGGCGCCTTCGGTAGACTAAAGAATTTCTGTGTAACAAATTTTATATATATATATATATATATATGTATGTTGAAAGAAATAGAAAACAAAAAATTACAACAAACAAGTTTTATATTGCTTGCCTCTTGTTTGCCAAATTGACGAGCCTCCTCCATGGTGTCGGGTAGTTTTTTATGCAACGTTTCCGGTAGGAAAGCAGCACCGATGGCGCCAAACAAAAACAAGGTACCCAATATATAATATGGACTGCGTATGTCGACGGTGGTGCCTAAATAAACTAAATATGGAGCCACAATACCGATAGCGTTTGCCAAAATTGTGCCAAGTGCAATGCCCGTTTGTCGCATACATGTGGGATATATTTCCATTCCTTGCAGGCTCGCGGTAAAGAAGGTGACAGCATTTAAGAATTTTATGAATGCTGCCAAACCCATTATTACATGCTCGTATTGCACGTCTGTTCGAATATTTAAAAAGTATAGATCGATAGATAAAAGTAAACGAAAACAATTTAAAGGTATAATAAACAATCAAATAAATTATGTGTGAAACGTACCAGTAGCGAGTATTATGACGGGTATGCACGTAAGAAAAGAAATGAGAAACGATATGCAATTAGTGAAACGACGACCATATGTATCACCTACGATAAGCGCAAAAAAAAAAAAAGCGATTGTAAAAAAAGCATATGACATTTTCACTTGTTGCTGCCGCCTAACAACTAACAACTAACAACAAATCAACAAAAATTATTTACCCAAATATTTGCCCACCATATAAGCCGGTATTTCGACAATGCTTTGTAAAAGAAAATTTAAGAAAGGATTACCAGCCATACGTGAACTGAATAAAACTAAAGTAAAATATGACACAGCCACAACGCACCTGCGTTAAAATAAAGAAATTGTTTTTTTTTTTTTTTTAAATTAAGTTTTAAAATTGGATTTCGAATGCACTTACCAACTAAAACCCATAATGATGGTATTGCGTGCCAAACGCCAACCGCTAAACAGAGACGCAATACCGTATGTGGTCTCAGCATGAGCTGTTGAGAAAATTTGTATCAATTCTTTTTCGCTCATCGTAAACGTGCGTCCATTAATTTTCGCAATCTTCTTAAACTGTATAATTGCATCAGCGAATCGCTGCTTACTAATCAACCAACGTGGCGACTCAATGACATATCTGTGTAAAATGTGATCGAACAAAAAAAAAAAAAATAAAAGGAAAAATTAAAAAAAAAAAAAAAATTTACGGAAATTCAATTGTATCAAATTTTTGCAGTGTCAATGTGAACGGCTTACTATCGATATGTAAAAACGTAAAGCGGAAAGGGTCGCAAGCAAGTGATATTAAAAATAGTGCAAAATTAAAGCCACCTGAAGAGAAGAAAAAAAAAAAATGCAAGAATAAAACAAAACAAAAAAAAAAAAACCGAAAGAAAAAATAATTCACAAAAGAATTCAGAGCAAAGAAAATCAGCTGAAATAGTAAAAAGCTTCTCCAAGCCCAGACAGCAATGAATGAACCACAAAACAGCGGAAGGGAATAAACATGTTTGCCTTGCATGTGTGCATGGGTTTTTGACCATAAAAACAAAAACATTGTGTAAAAAAGTTCCGGGTGGTTGTTTTTTTTGTTGGTGATGATTTTTTCCTATTTTTTTTTTCTTGTTTTTTTTTTCTTTTTTTTGTCTTTCTTTCATTTTTGTTGTGTCGAAAGAAATTGGAAACAATCGAATGAATTTGATTGGATTTCAAATGAATTGAGAATCATTTGAACGCATATACATACATATACATACATACATACATACATACATACGTACATATGGGAAGAACAACAGACTCTCTAGCTAACTGGACGGTGGACTGTTGGCGTTGCCTGACAGTCGGGGCTGACTAAGTGCACGAATATCATACGTAAGCAATGCACAAAGAAGACATTGTATACAATTGTGTTATGCTTCAATGACTAAAGGTATGAATGAGTGCATGAACGACCGACAGAATGCATGAACCAATGAATCGATGGTTGCTTGGATAGTTATGGAACATATAAGCAAATGAATCTATAAAAGAATATGGTCGAATACTGGATATTGATGTGAAACGATTGCAATATGAATCGGGAACTCATTCACATACACGCACACACACACACACACACACACACACACACACACACACACACACGCAATCATACATGTAAACTATACATATGCATAAGCGCACACGTTCATACACATGGCCATACACATGCACCCATTTTATTGACTTGTGTTCATTTACTATTAATAAATGGAGAACACTATGATATATTTTTTGCGTGCATTCTCTATTACGCAAACGAATACTTTTAAAAATTTTTTATTTAAAAATGAAAAAAAAAAAAAAAAAAAAAATGAAAAAAAAGACACAAAAGCAAAAAAGGAAAGAACAAAAACAATGGAAAAATTCAAATCAGAAATTGCAATTTTTATCTGCCATCAGTCGAAGAAAACTTGCTTACTTGGAAAATAATAAAATTAAAGCTGTTGGTATTGTTGTGCACCACATGAAGGGCTGCCAGTCACGTAGCCACCAGAATAATAATGGCATCAATGTAGTACCGATAGACCAACCAAAACTTTGATATATTGCAATTGTACTGCGATCTCGTCTGCAATGCATTTAATTAACGCAAAATTATAAAAGATTTTTTTTTTTTTATTTTTTTTTATATTTTTTTTTATTAAATTCTCCTTTTATTGATTAACTTACTCACGTGATATTTCCATACCGATTATCTGAGGTGATTGAAATAAAGAATTTATAGCTAAAGCAGCTAAACCCGAAAATATTAAAAACCAAATATAAGAACTTGTTGTCATAATAGATGCCAATCGACCAATCGAACAGAATATAACACTGATGTAGTAAACAAAACGTCGACCAAAACTAAGAATAAGAAATTTTATTATAAATATATTTGCGAAAGATTAGACAAGTAATGAAAATCATTAATACACAGTCCTTTAAAAACCTGTTACTGAAAGGGATACAGAGAGAGAGAGAGAGAGAGAAAGTCTTAACTATAATTTTTTGCTTACATTATAGTTTTTCTTTTTATTATTATTATTATTTTTATTTTTATTTTTTTTTTACTAAGTGTACTGAGTACATTAATATACACGAGTTTCTTTTCCTGTGTCATCTATCAATATTAGGACTTATTAACGGTTATCAAAATTGAACAAATTTTATAAATGGGTTTCAGCAGTTTTTTCGCCTACTCTGAGCTAACAAAAAATTCGAGCGATTGCTTTGAAGATACAAATGAGACTCACTATGTCTCACTACGACTCTAGAGAGCGTGATGATAAACCACGCAAAGGCTTACATGAGACTACAAATTCTCTCAAATTTACCCAAAATAATCAAAAAAAAAAAATAAATAAATAAATTAACCAGCGACTGATTTATCCCCACAGAATGTCTTGTTGTGTTAGTTTTTTTGTTGCTCGTGAAACGCAGGCAGGGAATTATGTTAATTTACTTTGCTTTAAAGTCAATCTAATGGAAATAAACGAAAGCATTAAACGATTAATCTTGGTAGGCTTTCAACAGTTGAATGAAAAAAAAAGGCGACAAATCACTAAAGCACCTGCAATGGACATCAGATCTGACCCTCTTAGTCCTTTTTTATCTGTTCTCTAATGTCGATAGATTTCGGTCTGAAAAGCACGAAATAGTTGTGGCATCTGTGTAGCTAAGTATTTGGACGGATTGACATAGTTAAACGAATTATATAAATGATTTTGTTAATCGAAGCCGATTAAGTTGCTGATGAGATAGATGTTCTATTGAAGAAATATTCAATAAAAAATGTATTCCTTTTTTCTTTGCTGGAAAATTATTGTTTGCTATACTACTCAGTTCACAAGAACAAACAACAAAAGCTAGCAAGTTGCTTAAGCTGATTATAAAATCTAGTTTGCTATCATTTCTCGATTTCTGATACTAAGTAAAAAATTGCTTAAAAAACTTTTGAAATAATAAACTGCGCGTTTGCGTTCCGCAGAAGAGAAAAAAAAAAAAGGGGAAGCTTAAGCCGAATCTATGTACACCTATCACTTCTGTGTGGTATTTTATTGCAAAAATATCAAAGATCCATTTACTGTATACATTAGTCCTATATATCGTATCATATACGTCTGTTGTCATATTTACTTCAAATCATTTTCTTCTTCTAGAATTCAGCAAAATAGCAAAATCGATTTGGGTCTGTTAAAATCTATTGGATTGATTTAGCTAATTTTTGAATTTAATATCGAAATATCATTAGGGAAAATTTTAACATTCAAGTTAAAAAAGATATAATTTTTAAGTCCATATATTGTGCAAAAGTTTAATTGTTGGTTGATTCCAAAAAGCAACTATGCCACTAATGTCCTCAACATTGTGTAAAAGAAGAAAAATTTGAGCGTTATAGGCAAGCACTTGAAAATGGTTGCCTTCACTGCCTTGCATATACCGAAGAGGATGTCCGGTGCGCCTCTTACGCATAGTGCATAAATCTGAAGGATTTCATACATCCCCTGCGGTTAGCACGCACGAAGCGTCAAAAATTCATTATTGTACAAACTTTTTCGCGTTATAAAAACTCCTTTTTTTTTCTAGTTTATGATCACCGGCAGTATTTGCAACGAATTTATAGCATTTAAGAAATTGCGTTCTTGTTACGCAATTTGTTTCATTTATCCGCTTTTTCCGGTGTTCACTTACATGTCACCCATTTGCCCAAGTAAAAATGAACCGACAACTTCTGTTATGCGTGCAACTACGAAAACATTTGTCACAAACAAATCCTTCGCACAGATCCAATTCTCTTGCGTTGGTATTGTTTTCTCATACCATGTTTGATCATAACTCCAGCCATACCGGCAACCTCTGGCCAGTTAGTTAGAAACGATGTAGTAGAAGGAAGTTAGCGACACCAATAGCATTGGGAATGTCATAGTGTGCGGCATTTGTAATTGTTTTGTTGTAGATATTCAATGTTAGTTTTGTTGTTGTTGTTGTTATTGTTGTTGTTGTTGTTGTTGCAAAGAAGTAAAATATAAAATTAAATAAAACGAAAAAGGAAAAGAAAAGGAAAAATTTTTATACCACACAGTATACTCAAGTTAGTTAAAGTGAAACGTATTAAAGTGCAAAGTTGTAAAAAGTAATGTTAAGCAAATGGAAAAAGTTTATACCAGATACTTGGTGGGGGGAGGGTTCACGTTCATGTGACTTAATGTGTATGATGCGAACGCTTAAATAAACTATAGATTTTTCTATTGTGCATAGCGTACAGAGATGTGGTAGTTGGGAAAATTATTGCTTTTTATTTTATAATTGAAAGTTATCGACTCTGGATTCTGCTACAAAAGATAATCGCAATGCATGCAACAATTTGTCGTATATTCCTCTAGTGCATGCATATACTATATAGCGAGCGAGCACACCGTATAAGCAACAATGCTTTTCAATTATCTAACATTGGAATTTAGGAGAGAGGGTGAGAAAGACAAAAAGAGAGAGAGAGAGGGAGAGGCAGAGAGGTAGTAGTAGTGAGTTAGGGAGAGAGACAGAAAAAGTAAAGTAAAGAGAATGTCTATCGATAGAACTTTATAGAGATAAAGAAAACTTTACCGGTATTTTTTATTTTTTATTTTTTTTATTTCCCTGCACTCAACGGCAATTTGACATAAATTCCATTTATGTTTTTTGTTTTCTTTTGCCCAAATTTGTTTTCTGTACGAAGCGAAAATTTAATTTCTTTGCTATCGCTTTCATAAAAAATCAGTTGGTGGGTTTTAATTTTATTGAATGCTTTAACTTTTTTTTTGAATTTTTTTTTTTAACTCAGAAGTCCCAACTCTTTACTGCTCTTGTTGTCATTTCATTGAACACCGTAATATTGCGTAATATGACATATGCTTGTGCGGATTATATATTCGTATAAAAGTATATGTCCTTTATGTGAATGTGCAACGTATACGACAGGAAGTGAAAAATTTACATGCTGCACTACGGTGCAGTCAATGTGATCGTTTAGTATGGAGAATGGAGTATGGACCTAACCAACTAACTATTCGACAGAATTGCGAATGCATTTGGTGGGAGATTTTAATAAATCAACTCCAAACAGAGTTTGTTTCTTGCCTTTGTTGCTGTTATTGTTATCATTGTTGTTGTTGTTGACTTCTTTTTTTTTTTTTTTTTTTTAATGTTTTTTATGAAACAGAAAATGTATGGATTCACATATATCGGATATTTTAGTAAAGAGGGAGGGAGAGATCCAAGTAGAAAGACAAATCGCATACATGCATACACATACACATACAGAGACACATAAACAAACGAACAAACAAAAACATACACACACACACATATATATATAGATATACATATACATATCGATACAGAGGAACAGATTCTGTCAGACTAACCTGTTACTTTGGTTTGTGCTGATGTTAAATTCCAATTTTGCCAGTCATCAATTTCGGTGAAATTCGCATCGAACATCTCACAGCTGCTGTACGTTTCGGTGTCACGATTGTCCTTGTGCCTGTGAATGAGCAAACAAACAATTGAACGTTATGTTAAGGCGATGGGGTATGCTCAGCGATGCGCCATAGTTAGGCAAAGCAGATGGTGTCCTGCCATAATAGCGGATGGCCTGGGCTTTTGCGATGTTTGTACATTTGTACGATGACATTTATATGAAATGCAAATTTGAAAAATGAAATTTTAAACACCATTCTTGACAATTTATTGCAAAACAGCATATACAATCGTAAACACGGACATACACATATACAAACACAAAAACACACATACACACACACACACACACACATCTATATATGTATACACGAATGCGTACATAAGCGGAACAAATCAGTATACAATAGCGTAATATGTCAAACATCGACAAGGATATCAAATATTTACATTACGTTATGTACGTTATGTTCACTATTGCATGAAAGCTTACATGTATGCTTGCATACATAAATGAATGAATGCATGACTTACGTGGGCAATGTTAATCGACGCCATTCAGCTAAAGTAAAATTTGTCTTCTCACGCCCGGGCACCGTACACCAATGTTCCGGTATATTCAATGCCAATATAATATTCATGTACATCATGGCTCCAGCCATCGCTAAAGCCGACACGAATATCAGATTATAAATAAGTTGAAAGCGACCATGATTGCCGGCTTTTTCCATGACAATCTGAAACGGATCATCGCATTCACCAGGATCCACAAATTGTTGTTGTTCGATATTACATTTAATGTTGTCATAACTATTCGCTGACTTCATATTCATGTTGTTAATTTTGTTTTACTTGAGATCGAGGCGCTGTGATGACAGATTCTTATTGAATATTTTTCGTTTGCACTTAAATGTTAATTATGATATTTTTTATCATGTTTTCTTGTAATTATTATTATTCTTCAATAGTCAATTCCGATCAGATCCAGTTCAAATAACTTGTTGTTATCTCTTCTTATGTTTTATTTATTTATTTATTTTTTTCTTTTTAATTCTCCTTAACATGGGATTCTAAGAGGCAGCGTGAGCTGTCAACATTGATTGACTTTAAATGCGTGTTAAAGAGTTAACTACTTACGTATAACGTTAACTACATTTACTCAAGTATCCACTACAAACAGTTAATTAACCTGCAATCAATAAAGTGAAATAAATTCATACAAAAAATGCAGAAATACAGAGAACCTATTTTTAAATGGTAACTCGTAGATTTCATAAAGCAAATCTTAACATAATTAAGTTCAATCCTTCAACGCAAACAATTTAAGAAACGTAACGCAGAAGAAAGCAAGTTACTTGCATTTCTATGAAAAATTGTGCGGAGGCTTTTAGTTAAGCGATCACTTTAGAATACTCGTCAATTTACAAGCAACAAAGAAACGCCTTTGGCAAAAGTTGTTCTCCTCTTGCACAGATTATTTATATATAAATGTATTTTTTTTACATCTGACTTGAGCTAACTTTCTAGTATACATAGGCGACCCAGATGAATGATTGTAGATAGTGAAAAAGGACCTGATGATGAAACGGAAGGTTTAGAAAAAAAATATTGTAGAAAATATTTTATTCATCATTAGTTAATACTTTTTGCACTTTTGGAGTCACATATGTATTCCGCGTGAGAAAATAATCCATTTCTTAAGGCTATCCAACTAATGGCTGCCATTGTAAAAATCAAAAACATTTCTTAAGACAGTTAACATTGGCTATAGAGGCCAGGTTTAATTAAAAGCAGGAATGTCTGACGGCAATAGCGTAGCAGCTTACCACAGTCTTAATAACGTTTCCTAAAAGAATTTTGCAATATTGTGCAATTGGTCTATCTGGATTTCGATGAAGTGGGTGCTTGAGTCTGGGTGCTTGAGTCAGCTTAGATAATAACTGGCAAATATATCGGAGATATGAAGAGCATTACTAGAATGGAAACTCTTCAATATCTATTTGAACATTGCCAGACTAAAAAAATCTGATTCATTAAGCCTTCTCTTGAAAACAACTTGAAATTTCACTACACACGGGGATTATTTATTATGAGTTGTTTCCATATGGCCAAACGCTAATTTCTGATCTCTATTGTCAACAACTGGACCGTTTGAAGATAGCGATTGACCAGAAACGGCCAGAATTGGCCAACAGGAGAGGTGTCGTGTTCCACCAGGACAACGCTAGGCCACACACATCTACAGTGACTCGCCAGAAACTTCGGAAGCTTGGTTGGGAACTTTTAATGCATCCGCCATACAGTCCGGACTTGGCACCAAGCGATTATCATCTTTTTCTTGCATTGCAAAATTTCTTTAATGATAAAAAATTGGAATCTAGGGAAGATTGTGAAAATCGACTACTAGAGTTTTTTTTGCAAATAGAGACCAGGACTTCTATGAGAGAGGCATTTTGAAGTTAACTTTAAAATGGCAACAAATCATACAACAAAACGGTGTATATTTGACCCAAATCGGACAACCCGAAGCATGTTAAATAAAGTCCTGAAGTTCATATAAAAATAATGGATTTCTTTTTCCCCAAACTAAATAAAAAAATATAGAAACTATTCATTTTGATCAGAAAAACCTGAATGAACTCGGTCCTCGGTTTAATCATCCTGATTAAACACATAACGATTAATATAAAAAAAAGCTTAAATGAATTGCTACTAATTCCGGCGAGTTCTTAAGAGGGATTGGATTAATATAAAAAAAAAAAAAAATCAATCACGAATTTATTCCAATCGAAATCAGCGATCGATGAGTAAACATAAATATATAAATCTTAATTAAAAACCTCTAAACTTTGCATCATTTTTATTGTTTAATCTTATATTTATTTGTACATGTAATAAGAATCAAATTTTTATTCAAATAATTGAACAAACGCTAAATTATTCGAGTTGTTTGATTGTGCCCTGAACTTTTGGTGTTTTTCGGACAATGAGTTATATAAGCCCTGATGGTAAGAGAGTTTTCTAACAGATGACTTTTAACAGCTTGCAATAAAAAGTTTTAAGAATATTTTAAACATTGCATGCATTGAAGCCCTCGTACATTTATTATAGATATATACGCAATGTCATTTTTGAATAATCGCCAAGCGCGATTCCGGTTAATTACACGGGAAGAACTACTGAAGGGAACTATTAACATTGTCGATAAAGCTGAATATCGATAATTCTCTCATTCTGTTGGGATTATGTGGTCGCCCTGTTCCTCTCAAAAGATAGTACCAAGAATAATGATACTATTGCGCTGATTATTAAAGTAAAAAAGAAAGACACCTAAAAGCATTGTAGGTTGCTTTCTTTTTTTAACCTGAAGACATTTAAACTTATAGTGTAAAAAGTATCCAGAAAGCATCGGCAGTAATGGGAATGGTTTGCAATGTTTGATCATCTTCTCTATATTCAGCAGCCACGTGGTAATGGTTTGCAATGTTTGATCATCTTCTCTACATTCAGCAGCGTTCAGCGTTTCCTTGTCTATCTCAGCGATGTTATTATTCTGATAACTATTGCTAGAAAATGGTTACATACATAGCCTCAATATACTCGCTGTCTGTTCACTGGATTTCTTATTTATTTAGAGCAATGGAAAAATTGCGTAGTTAATGGTGAGCAATACATTGCATATTTTTTATCATTCCCTTGAAGTGCAAACTGTTCTCATAAAGAAAAAAACCGGTCGAGACATATATTCGATACCTAGTATTACGTCTTCCTAATGCGATGCGGTTTTAAAGTTTAAGAGATCATTTTTATATAAAGTGAATTTTTTTCATTCAGTTTACATGCTATATATAAATAGTTTTTGCAACTTGAATGATTTTCTTTTTTTGTATATGTATATATACTGCATGCTTGTGGTTTGATAAATAGTTTAAAAGATAAAAAGTTATGTACGCATCTCGAATATGCAACATTTGAGATAAGTAAGTGATGGAAGCAAAATGTTCTTCGAAATGTTGCACTCAAATGCAAGGCCAGATAAATAAATATTGACATAAACCCTGACCTAGAATCTATTTCGTGTTGGAAGGTATTAATAATACCCACTTCTAATTTTGTAATTCTTAGATCTTTTTTGATATTTTACCTACATAAAAAAAAAGTAAAAACACTGTAGGGGGACAAGGCCCGTGATTAAATACCCTACACCACCTCACTTAATACTGTTATCCATATGACGGCCTTTGAAAATAAAGTCAAGAGATGTTCCGATCCGTTTACCAAATTTGATCAAAATATATCAAAAAATGCGTCCTATAGGTTGAACACAAGAAAACAAGACAAACAGAGGGTCAGACAAGTTTGGACAGATTCCGAAAGTGATCCTAAATCAATCGGTATAAGACAAGGCAGATCTATTTCAAGTCCTTGTGGGCATTACATATAACTCGCTTAAGGAGTAGGTTGTAAACATTAATGAATGATCAAATTTTATTCTCGAACTTGATTTGTAGTAGTAAGGTAACTAAGACAAATATGTCAAAGCTTAATTATTTATTCTAAATATAAAATATATTTAGTTTGCCTTAGCTTTCAGAAGTAATTGTTTTTAATTCATTAGCCCTAATAATGGACGATGGCGTAATTTATAAAAAGATGATGAAAAGCAGAGCTAATACGATTCAAAATTTAAACTAATTAACTCATCCATCGTTGCCTGTTACAAATGGAATGATTAAATTAGAATATCCTTACGTATGCTTTAGTAATTAAAGTGTACTTACCACGTTACACCTTACGCTTATATATAGAAAATGAGAATTGAGAAAACGCTTTCAAATGTTACTTATATTGTTTCATTCACACTTTTAAATTTGTTTTGTAATTAATTGACAATTATATCATTGAAGCGTCATGCTGTTATCACTGTTGTTAATGTTCATCTACCGTATAATGCGGTTTTATTTGTGGTTTTTGTAAGGGAAGCAAGAATTTTTGTAAAAGCAATTTAACCGAGAAAAGGTATTTTTTGTGACATTCCGTAAAAGCAACGCAATAAAAAAAAAGAATATAACATTTTATAACGACATTAAGGATACGTTATTACATTTCTACATATGATTTTAATTAGTAAGCATTTTTTTTTTTTTTTTAACACAATAAAAACATTTCGATTTTTTTACTTTTAAAAATTTTCAGAAAAAATTTTTTTTTTTTTTTGCAAATTTCAATATTAGGATGTTTACTCGTGTTGATTGAATTTATAAAAAAAAAAAAACAAAAGACCGCTTCACAACAAATCTTTAATTTTTAATATGTTCGAATGATCCAATTTCTTTTGTCTAGCATTGAAGAAGATTAAAACTTATCTGGTAAGGCATTGCTGCTGATATTTCTGAGATTCATACAAAACAGTTTAGTAGTAGTAGCAGTACTAGTAGTAGTAGTAGTTGGTACTAATTTCTGCTTCTCCAACTGATAAGATGTTTTTTTTTTTAATATTTTTTTTTAAATTTTTTTTTATTTTATTTTCCTTTTCTTTTATATGACAATATTGTAGTGGGTTACGATAATGTTATAAAACGCTTAAAAGTTCACACACACTTCAACACACTTCAAAATTGTAATTAGAATTCTGAATATAGATATATATGTGAAAACTAAATCCTATATTATACAATAAATTATGTAAGTTATAAATAAGAAACCTAACTATTTAAAAAAAAAAAAAAAAAAAAAAAAAAAAAAAAAACAAGATAAGACAAGAAATCTTAGACTAATCAGAGAATCTGCTGAGTTTTTAAATTTTTGGCACATTTTTCATTCGTATTCAAATTTGCCCTCAAAATATTGATTGAACTTGTGATCTTCTGATTGGCTAGAGAAGTTTTCGGCTGAACTATCGAATTGATATTTGACGAGCGAATTGAGAACGAGGAAATAAAGTACGGAGCGAAGAGGCTTTGTAAGGAAAAATTTGAAATCACAATTTTTTTTTTTTTTAGCTTCAAACTTGAAAAATCCCTTCCTTTAGTTCGACAAATAGCAAGAAATTGCTAAAGCCATGCCGGCTAGGATACATATGGAGCTATTTTAATGGAAGATTTTTATCGTCTTTGGTGACGAAGGGTATAATTTTGTTATAGACTGTAGCAGTTCATAGTTAACATATTTGAAAAAAGTCATTGACACTGAAGCAAATATTGATTTAAGGAAAAGTGTTTCATGGAATAGCGTAAAGTGGTTAACTCTAATACTATTAAGCCATATTATGGCCCTTGTGAAAAGTGTTAATTCACAGATCGGCAACGAGCAATTAAAAGTGGGTCACATACGATAGTAATGAGCGAAATAGCTTGCTTTGGAATATGGATGAAAGTGCACAAGCGATGTCAAAGCCTTTGCGTTACGGGAACGAGGGAAACGAATCGCTCATCGCAACCTGCTCAAACCTGAGTAGACAATTAATTTCACTATCTAAGGTCAACCATAAATGCATTAATAAACTGAGATAAAATGTTCAGAGTTACTCGAAGGAAGACGACGATGTTAGACCATAGAAAAGTTGAAGGACTCAACACAAAAAGCGAGAACTTGACCGATAAGTTTTGACGCATATCTCGTACAAACCGAATCTCACCATGGATCCCATAAGATTTATTCCGCCCATTTCCATATTTTCTTTATGGTATACCGGCGGACTTGCAAATGCATTTAATGCAAATCTTTTGATGGAGTGTTACGACCAGAAACCATTCAACTGCTATGGTGGTGGAAATATTTTGTCAGAAATATAGCCAAAAGTTATCGATCAAGATGGCATATATTTGATGTAAAAATGTCTTATATAAAAATTGTATTTTGTTTAACAAAAAAAAAAAAATGCAACGAACTCTTCCCTTGATATATGGATAGGAAAGCAATATTTAGCAATTTGTGCGGTACTATTAGGTAGATTTCTTTAATTCGTTTCTTTACTATGCGAATCGATTAAGCGAAGATCATATTGCAACTTAATATATTACGTTCGCGTTACCGCAAATTGTTTAGTCCAAATTCAAAGATCATCGTTTCAGTTACCTTGGAAATTAACAATCGTTCATCAATGCCATCGTATTTATCGAACACACTGTTACATTAAAAAATTTAAATATCGATTAGCGACATTAACTTTGATTTAACGTTGGTAGTTTACTGACATCACTCTCTCTCGATTCCATTCTTTTTTATTTTCCTTATATGTTAACATATTTTATATGAACTAAAAATCGTTTTTCAACCGTTCGGCCTGCGGCAAGAAACTATTACAACTAATGCAGTGATTAGTATTATATGTCGTTTTATAAACCGCAATAAAAAAAAAAAGACAACAATTAATTTATTTAATTAGGATTTATGAACAAAATATATTTTGCATGGCCATCCTCGCGGCCATTTCTCACTTATTTGCATTTATTATTTATAATGTCAATTTAATGGTTCTAATGTTTTATTAGTCATTTTAATGTTCCTCTCTGTCACTCTCTCTGTCACTCACTCTCTCTGTCTCTCACTCTCTCACTCATTTCACATTTGAAAACATAACATTATTTAATATATATTTCATTTTTTTTCTTTTTCAGCGCTTCAAATTCTCGCGTTAGAATATCTTATGGTGGTAAGTAAAGAAAAACAAGAATAATAAACAGTTTTTTTTTTAGTTAAAAATTTTTATAGAAAATTTAAACAAAAGTATAATATTCCAACTAACTAACAAATCTGATCTGTTGGTTGTAAAGTGATAAACTAAATAAATTATTTATATTATTGGTGTTGCTATAGTTTTTGTGTCATAATGATGACAATGACACTCTGTCTATGTATGCAGAAGACAAGTAACCGTCTCAAGTGATAAGTAGTAAAATTTTTATAATAATAATAATAATAATAATAATAATAACAAGAGTAATTTAACGCAAAAAAAAAGCAACAACAACAATAACAATAACAACCACATCAGAAAGTAAGAACAAAAGCAATTTTATAATTGAAATCGGCAGTGATGAGAAAGAAAAACACTTGAGAATAATAAAAAAGTAATTTAAGTACTAATAAAATATATTTTACACATTAGACGCATCCTTCAAAAAAAAAAAATAAATAAATAAAAGTATATTTTCAAAGTAATTGCGAATTATTTTCAAAAGCTTCAATCATCCATTGACATGCGTCGTGCTAAAAAGTATCGGGAAATATGACTTGATTTTCATCGCAAATCTAATTAAGTTCTTTGAATTTTTCTTGACATCGTTTGTCAATAAGTTTTTACAACTTTGCAGTGATAAACTTTAATTCAAAAATTTTAAAATTCATTGAAGCTTCGGTTAGATGCTTAGTATAATTTCTCGCAATTCCTCTTTTAAAGATTTTCTTTTCGTCACCTTTCTCTTACTGCTTATTATTATTATTGTTATTATTATTATTATTATTATTAATACTAAATTTATGGCACCCTTCAGTTTAGTATCAAGTTCAAAATTTCTGCATAAGGAAGTAGATATCTTCAGATCTTATTTATGGGTTTTTAATGATTTAATGCAGCAAATATATATGTGAAACACGCATGTGTTACATGTGGTATAACTATTTTCACTGAAACTCATCAATTTGATGGATAATTTTCGTGAATCGTCACAATCTCAAAAATGAAGATACGAAACTGAATTTTATCACATGCGTTTTCTGATTGGTTGAGAAATTGTTGTTACTAAATGGTCGTGATCTGTTCGCATATAGATCCATAATGCAGAAAAAACTAAAACAACTTCAGAAAATGGGAAGCAAGTTTTTCAAATTTTTGTATATAACTGTCGATCCCGTGAAAATATATTTTTAAAAAACTGTTACCAAAACATTCACCAGAACCACCTACATATTTGTTGCAAAAATGATCACGTTTTATGAGTTACCATTTACATACCAGAATTCTTTTTGATATTACAAAAAAAAAAAAACCTATTTATTGATTTTTTAAAGTTGTCCTCTCCTGATTACCCAAAAATTTTGATTGCTTACCTATCTCTATAAAATCATTCCTTCTCGATCTCCCAGCCTTTTAATTGAACGAAAAACAGCAAAGATAGCCTATGTAGCGTATGTATGTGTTTAAGAGAGTCTTGAAGCGTTTGGAACGATTTTCATAATCCTTTCTATGGCACTGTGATATTAACAAAAGCTCTCCTTAGTAAAGAATCGAAAGTAGTGATTGCGATTTTAATCACTTATCAGATTAACGACAAGGGTATGCCATGTAATAAGAAAGAGAAAATTTCTTTTAAAAATATTAAGATAAGATGAGATCACTGGTGTTTTTTCTTCTATGAACATTGAGGATTCGCCCTAAAGGGAGTATAGGCTTCTCAGCCTGTTTTATACTCCATTAAATTTAAAATACAATTCGAAGAATTAAAATTCTGTCAAGGCCAAGGTAAATTTGGCGATTGTTTAGAAAAATTGGTGACCGACTTTTTGCCCGTACATTTATATAAAAGACCAAGAGGGTATCTTAGCTTGCCTTACCATATTTGAAGGCATTATTTTTTTTTATTAAAAACGTGTTTGCTTTCACATTAGATATGATTTCTTTTAATCCTCTTCCTAATTAATAAATAGGCATAGCATTCATTTACATTAAGCATCAGTCTAATATGGAAAACGGGAAGTTTATGATTGTGTCGCTACACTGCAAATGTAATCATATCTAAATTAGTTGATATGATTATCTTTTTAAGAGTTTCACATATAGCTAAGTAAACAGAGATATATTTACACTTGTATGGCTGAGTATTACTGCTTATTTACATTACTATTGTAAAGCGTTTCAGAGTTTATCTAGACATTTACTATTTTGTTCACGAGTAAACAAACGATTTCATTTCACTTATAGCTTTTAAATATGATTGAAGCTTTTTTTTTTTTAATTTATCTGAAATCTTAACCGAGAGTTTATATTAAATAAAATTTATGAAATTTTTTTTTTTAAATTTCAATATTTTATAATGAAATATCATAATTAAAGATGCAATGCAGAGAGAGCTTCTCCCTCTCCTGTATAAGTGGATAAAATTTCTCAATGATTAAATATAAAATTTTTCAATAATATTTTTTTATAATTAATTATAATATTTTCATTCTTCATTTCTCAGACATGATTGCTTTTCGATATAAAACGATAGTCAACAGCTTAAAGTATATATACATATTTATAATATATATATATATATATATTTATTTACATATGTGTACGCGGTTATTAACATGTATACGAAAATTATTCATCTTATCATCATAATGCTCTTTAATATATTTTAAATGGAATTGATAGGTGAATAATCATAATAATTGCTCTTTGCGTACGTATGATATTATTATGTCACACCAGAAATTTTGAGGGTTTTTTCAACTGTTTGTAATAAACTCTGGAAAGCGGTAGAGACAAATATAGAGACTTTGGGCGAAAAATTTATTTGAACTTAAACCGTTGTCCGAAAATATGATTTACATTTTGATTTTCTGCCTTTACAATGATCACTTATGAAAATGATGAGTTATGAAAAATGGATTTAAATACACAATAATTGACAAGATGTACTATAACAAAAAATTCAGATGATCCCACAAATGCGGTCTTTGGTGATTTAAAAATCAATTA